TCGTTAAGATTGGACACAGTCGTCATAATGTGATCTTACTAATAATTAATTGTTTTTGTATCATTAATTTATGTATTGAAGAGGAAACAAAGATTGAAACGCGTATCGCAATTGTCTAATAAAGTTTTGATTATATCTAATATCTTGTGTTGGTTCATATTAGCATTATTTATCATTAGAATTACTTCAATATATTTGAAAAATCGCATGATATTAGAAATGAAATATTATTTCATCCATCACTATTTTATAGTTAATTTTAAAGAATTGAATGATAGAAATAGAAGAAAAAGAACATATTATTATGTAACTTTTCAAATTAAGTGATTTTAAAAACTAGAATCGCAGGTTTAAATTGAGGTTCAAGATAAATCTTTTTACGAAGGAAGTTGTCATAAAAATAAAATTACTTGTAATAAATTATAATTATTTGTGAAAAGTCACAAAAATTTGACACTTCACAAGCAAAGCCAAATTAATTAAAAAACAAAAACTATCATATGGATCAAAAATGACATAGGTTTTAGCTAATGATGTATATATTTGCTTGTTATACAGTATTTTCCAAGAGTATTTTCCAAAATGATTGCCATGATAACTTGTACAGTTTTAATCTGATCAATTTAAAATTTTGAAGAATTCACAATATTTTCTTTTTTCGACTGAACTATTATACAATCAAATCAAAATTTCAAATTTTCAATTTTTCATCAAGAAAGAATATTCACTTCTATTTCTAAAAATTCTGAATTTCAGAATATTCACCTTCTGACAATAATTCAGGCTTGTAATATAACAGTCATTATAAAAACTCATGCGCAATGGCCTTATAAATTTTAAACTTTAAACTCATGTGACTGACACAATTTACAATGATGAATTGATAAATTTAACATTTCCATACATAAATCGTGTGTCTCGCGTAAAATTCACGTGTTCAGGCACGTAACTACGCACATCGATCTAATCAAGAATTTGCATTTACAGTTAATATTAAATTCTTTTTATTTGACACTATTGATTATTAATAGCGTTAGTAATTATTGTTATCAGAATTATTAAATTTAACTCGTAAGTTTTACAACATAAAATATTGTAAAATAATTACAAAATTTAACAGAAAATTATTAAATCTCATGTTTCTTTATAAGAAAATAATATTTTCATCTATGCTTCTATATAAAAGAAAGACTTATGAGAAACTTATTTAATTATTATTTTCTTTTTTCACATATATTATTTCATAAATTTTTAACTCCTGAGAAAAGTAAAACTGTATAATACAAAGAGAGAGAGAGAGAGAGAGAGAGAGAGAGAGAGAGAGAGAGAGAGAGAGAGAGAGAGAGATATCATTACATATAAACCATTACATATAAATCATTATATATAAGCATATAGGTTCTTGTATTTTGAATTATGTTCGTTATCACAATATTTTACAATATTTTATAATTTACTATATGCAAATCCCGTTTGTGTGTAATAATCATGCAATATGATTACATGAATGCATGTATAGTTATAATGATCACAATTCAATGTAGAAGCTACAATGTTGCAACAATTATAAATTCATAGTTGTTCCAAAAAGTGACTATAAAATATAATTATATTAGAATAAATACGATTGTGTAAATGATATACATAAATATGAGAGAGAATACTAATAATGGATCAAAGTTTAGTTAGATGTTATGAATACAATATATATTCTTAATTTAAATTTAATTATCTCAAA